CCTAGGTTGTTTTTACAGTAGATTTCTTTCTTCAGTGATTTATATATTTTGTGAGAAGGTTTTCCAAAGTAGCTCATCTTAAACCATTTCTTCTTGTTTTTGTTGTCGTTTGCTACAGTATGTGAGTATATTGATTTTAAATTTATGGCTTTCAATTTTTTAAACAAAAATATGTTAACTTTGTTGTAAAACCATTGTTAACAGAAATTAGTTTTATAGTTTTTAATTCAGTTTCATAATTTTCAGATGACAAGGGTACAGTGATAAGTCTGTGTAAAAAACTATGGAACATGGCAAGTTTGTGAGATACTGGATGTCTTGAAAAGGCATGTATGGTGGTGTCACTATAAGTCGATTTTCTGAAGATTTTGATAGAATGTATGCCGTTCTTTATGTCAATATTTAAGTCCAAATAATTAATGTTTCCGTTTTCATCAAATTCCATAGCAAATTTAATAAATTTCTTTTGTGAATTTAGAAAAGTTACAAAATTGTCGAGTTGACGTTTGGATCCAGTCCAGAGACAAATCCCACCATCAACATACCTGTACCAATATTTAACGTTTTGTATTACTTTCATCACTAAACAATTTCTTCTCTAAATTATCCATGAAAACTTCTTCAAGCAAAGAAGAGAAAGGGGAGGGTGACCCATAGCTAATCCGTCGATTTGTTTATATATTTGGTAATTAAACTTGAAGCAGTTCTGATCTAAAGAAGTGGTTATTATTGTTTTTAATTCCTGAGCTTCAACAGGGTTTATTTTTTCTTTGTCCATTAAATCACCTACAATTTGTTTACATTCGTTAACAGGTATACTGGTGAAAAGACTACTAACATCAAATAAAACAATTTTGGCGTTATTCGGCATCTCTAAATGTTTGATTTATTCAAGATCAGTTAAAGATAAGGACTGTTATGTGTTTTAGTACTAATAAACTTTACAAAAAAAATGAATTTATCGAAATTATATCTTTTACTCCTTGCAAGCTTTTTTACTTATTCCTATTGATGGTCCAGCAGTAAACTTGAGGACTTATAACGCTAAAATGAGGGGTTCGATCCATACAGTAGGCACAGCGAAGATTGCCTATTGTGCAACTTTATGCTCAAAGCAAAATAGACAAACTTTTAATTAACACAAGTAAGATTTGTAGAATTCCAACTTATTGAAACAATGAATGGCGGGATATTTTTAATAGTTAATTTTCATTCCTGTTCTGTAACCTTTTTTTTTCTTACGGTGTTCTTTAAGCTTACTGAAAGTTGCAGCATCTATGAACTTCAAACTTCTAACCCTTATTCTCGCTTACATTTATCGAGCTCTTGCTTCAATCTTCTAATTAATCCGATATCTAATACGAGTTCTTCTTCTATATGGTGATTTGTCTCACTTCAGCAGTTTGAAAAATAAAATGATCCTTCTGTATTATTTATGTACGGCTAGTTTCCTCAAGATTAAACTTAGTACTATTTCTTTTTTACTTGAATCTATAGTAATCTTAAGTTTTGCTCATATATTTGCATGATAATTATATTGAAGATTAAGTTATATTGTGTTTTTTTTCTTTAAATCACGCGATGTTATTGTTATTATACTTAAATACGACTTTTAAGGTCGAATTCGTGTTGTCTTTTGTCATTTTTACATTCCTGAAGATTAAGCTTAATTTTTTCGTTATTTTAAGACTTACTCATGGTTTCCATGCTAGTAATTATAATTTACGTTTATTTTACTGAATACAATTTACTTTGTTTTGCTTTCTATTACTTGATCATGATTTAGCTCTTAATCATTGAGCTAGGGTTTGCATGTACGTACACATTCTTCAGATAAATCTGATTTCCACCTTGCTTTTGAAATGGGTTTCTTCAAAGCGTATTATATATTACTTTTATTTATTTATGATTTATAACATATGTAACTCATTTAATCTTGCTACTGAAAAGTAATTATTCAAAGATTTATACTTCACTGTAACTAGATTCACATACAATTTTCAACATATTTATTTCTCAAACTTGTGTCTGTGCTTCTGTTTATATGTCTTGCCTAACTCTGAGCGTTTCAGGGATTCTTGTATACTCTCCAAATGGATTTTAGAATCCCTTACTTTATTAATTTTTCCATTTTTAGGAGACTGACAATAATTTCAATTTTACTCCTGTGTGTTGCCTTAGTGCCCACTTTCAAAACTCTGACCGCCATTAAAAAAAAAAGGTTCTGACATGTGGGCTACTGGATGCAAGCTGAATTGTTAATCCGAAGGTTTATGGTTTGCATCCCAATGTCACAAAAACTGTGCTCCTCACTGTATTAATTTTCTTATTTTTGTGAATTGGGTGGCTATTTTAATTTTCTCTTTGGTACTGCATGATATGATCTATTTCTAAAAGCCAACGAAAGAAATGATCCAGGTGGTGCGGGTACTTTTTCAAGTATGTATAAAGTAAAGGAACTCTGAGTTCTCTGTTATATTAAACTAGTGAATACTTTTTAATAAGCTTTACAACTTTCGACCAAACGCGATAGCTACATTAGGACACAGTTTCACTCTAGTACAGTGTTTCTCAATGTGTTTTTTTGCTCAAGACACCCCTTCATACAGTCTACAATGTCTACGGCACCCCTAACGTTTTATAGCCTGGTTAACAATAGCATAGCTAATTTGGAGGGGGCGTCATAGATATAAGCCCCCCTAATAGGTCCTAGATGAAATGAAACCTGGCAACTTTCTTTTCGTTTGGTACACATGACAACTTTTCAAATATATGATGTATCAATTCATTTACTGCTGTTGTATGTTGAGCTGATATATAATGCATGTTGTACAGCTGTTGTTAACAACCACACAGACATTCGACATAGCTTTACAGTAATATTCAGCTGTATTTAATAACTAATTGATATAATTGACTATAACCTGATATTTGTGTCCTTTTCTGTAAGTACAAATACTTAACGATTTTGTCTATTTATTTTTACTTTAAAAAAGTTGGGTATTATCTCCTGTGTAAGTTTATATGTATTTTCAGTTTAAGAAGAAAACTTATAAATCATGGTGTTTTATTAACGATTTTAATTGGGTACTTAGAACATTTTTGTTTATTTTGTGAGGCACAACTCAATTGATGTAATATTTTGTATCATACACGTTATTTCAAAGTTCATTAACATGCGGGAACGATGTTTATGAAGCCATATTGTGTGTTTCCAATTACAAATAATCTCAACACGTCATTATATGTCCTGAAAATATAAATAGACTGTATACCAGTGAGGGAAAGATGTATAAACGCTGTAGTGAGTATAGACTCACCTTTAAAGAAACGTTTGTTATGTTATTACCTCTAATTTTTAATCTGAAGCAATGAAGCACTACTAAATCATGATTATGTGTTTGACTGAGACAATTAAAGAATATATCGAAACTATGTCGAAGGTATTTGATTTTACAGAGTGTATAAAATTGAAGGACTGTTATTCCGAGCTTCGAAGGCCAAAACTAACTGCTACTGTCCTGAGGATTAGTACAATAGTATTAAGGCCCTCATGTTTAGTACTGTTTGAGATAATGATTATTAATTAGTATTACTTAAAGTTCTGATTATTACTACTGCAGTACTAAGGCACTCATGTTTAGTACTGTTTGTGGTCCTGATTATTAGTACTACTTAAGGTCTTAATGACTAGTACTACAGTATTAAGACCCTCGTTTTTTAGTACTATTTAAGGTCCTGATGATTAGTAATATAGTATTAAGGTCCTCATTTTTAGTACGGTTTGAGATCCTGATGATTAGTAGTATAGTATTAAGGCGCTCATATTTAAGATTGTTTGAGATGCTGATTATTAATACTGCTTAAAATCTTGATGATTAGTACTATCAAATTAAGTCCCTCATATTTAGTACTCTTTGAGGTCCTGGTTATTAGTACTGCTTAAGGTCCTGATGATTAGTACTATTTGAGTAATTGGGAACGAGATCATGATTTTATTCAAAATTCAATTAGGTCGCGCGAATATGTAGTCATCTTGCAGTTGAATGATCTTCGTAATTACGAATCTGCTTGAGTCTTTTGGAAGAGATAAGTAGTGATTTGGATATTTTATTGCATTTTAGTGTTTACAAAGTTTTTTTTTTAATTTTCTTTAGAGACATGAACACTTGAAGACGTTCCTTTATATATATTCGGTATCCAGTGCAGCAAATGGCGACTCTTATACCCGTTTAACTTTCATCTTTAATCTTTCAAAAAATCCGTTTCAAAAGTCAGTAATCAAAGTTCCAGTGTAAAGGATTACAGAAATCAATACTTAGTTTAAAATTATCATAACTTTTTCACACAAATTATTCAATTACTGTTCAACCAATTACTATTTCTCAAGTATTCAATTTATTCTATTCTTGTTTAGGCTTGGAAAACTAAACCACGAAAATATACTTACAGATGTTTCCTAAGCTGACGATGTGTATTTATAGATTTTAAAAGTTAAATGTTCGCTAAGAGGAAGTTAGTTTATTCTAGTGTGTTTTTTGTAAATTTTCTATCACTCGACAACATTATATTAAAACCTCGAGGACGAAACGAGACCGTTTTTCATTCAGATCTTTACATTATATCGTAGCTTAATTCATTTTTTCATAAAGATACTATATACGCTTAATACATGCACATTCGATAATATGTATTCAGGTAATATTGTTTATTTGATTGATTATGAGATTATGAATACCTTTTTTCTGTTATAATTTGAACCTAGTGCTCATCTTAATGACTAAATTACGTTACAAACCATTTGAATATAGTGCTCATCTTAATGACTAAATTACGTTAAAAACTATTTGAAATTAGTGCCCATCTTAATGACTGAATTACGTTACAAACTATTTGAAATTAGTGCCCATCTTAATGACTGAATTACGTTACAAACTATTTGAAATTAGTGCCCATCTTAATGACTGAATTACGTTACAAACTATTTGAATATAGTGCTCATCTTAATGACTGAATTCTGCTACAAACCATGATGAATTTAACATGCTTGCCTGTTAAGATAATCATTTGTGTCAAGCCTGTTGGCGAACTTTATTGTGAACAGACTCGATACAGTAGCAGTTTGGATCAGAATCGAGTTGACAATTTTGAAGAGAGTTTTCTAAACAGGAAGGTTGTACAAATGAAACTCGGTTTGTATTCCTGTACTTTCAAAAATTCTAGTTCAACGAAAACAGATGTTAAAGCCAAGGTGCTTTTAACATTTAAAATAAAAAATAAAAACGCTTATAACTTCTAAATAAATGTGTTCACCATTTATTAAATGTTTTAAGGAACTTTACTTTGCAGACTTGACAATATTTAGATTAAATTTGATAGTTTCATTAATTTGACTAACAGACAAATTTCACAAATAATAATGAACAACAAATTCGAGTGAACGCTCAGAACGAGCTTAGGAAAGGCTGTAATTAGCTTGTACAATCCAAATGGCAATAAAAAATGTAGGTGAATTCTTCTACTTAAAAACTATTAATCACTTAGATAATAAAGTCGTCTAGCGGCCATTTTGGAGACTAGTACATCAATTGGCTGCTGATCATCAAAAAGGGAGGGTGCTTCGAGTATGATGCAAGCCGAACCAATAGCACAAGTTAGACTAAATATCCACAGAAACAGACGATCTATCACCATGGCAACGAACTGCCAATCATCTTTTATCTGGAATAAATACAAAATTTCATTTATTTAAGCTTTTTACGCAGCAAAATATTTCTGTGAATTCTCAAAGAAAATGTTAAATAAAACTGTATATGTATTTGTGAAATGCCATAATGATATGCGACGACTGCCTCGAAAAACACTTTATCTATGATCTGGCAACGTTTCGAAAATCTTTATTCTTGCTTTTTCATGCTTGTATCGCATTTCATTCGTTATGGAAATACTACCTAGATAATCTGTTTTGCAAGTTTTATTCAAGGTATCATTAAAGTTGGTTAAAGCTCAATTTTATATTTAAAATGAAATGCTGTGGTGTAATTACTGCTAGAAATAATATTGTGTTTCTGTCTTCAGGAAACATATTTTTTTAAGCTAAGATAAATGGATTGGTTTACCAGTGATGTGGCACAGAACTAACACTAATTAAAGTCGTATCACTTTGCAAGATGAGGAAATACAACAAGCAAAAGCAATAAGATGCTTAATATATAATAATGTAACATTCGGAGGTTTGAAATAAAACATTAAGCGAAAAGAAAATAGTTTTCTTAAATAATTCAACAAATATTTCGATGATAATTAATTTGGATCAATGCATAAGCCCCTAGAAGTCTGCTTAGTGCAACTCGGGATATTTAACTCTTAAAAACAACGAGGGAAATAAAATTTTGTTTTAAGTAGCAGATTTCCGTAAAAACCATCGAATTGCTTTTCATAATAATAATAATTATTCAGACACATTCATGATAATGCTGCTCGTGTGAGTAAAAGAATGAAAGAAATTATGTTCAACGTATGAATACGCTATTTCTATTTTGAACACACACACAGAAATGTGTATCTTCATAGAAGAAAGGTTTTGCCACAGAAAACGCTGTATTACAGGGGAGCTACCTGGAATTTGAAATACTGTATCAAATGGGAGATACCTGAGGTCTGAAACACTGTATAACGTGTAAGATACCTGAATTGTTCAGTATTTTTTATATAAGAAAAACCTAATGTTTGAAACACTGTATTACAGAGGAGATACCTGGGGTTTCAAACACTGTATTACAGAGTGTACATCTGTAACACTGTATTACGTGGATTTTTGTTTGCTTGAAGTTAAAGACAAAGCTACACAATGGGCTATATGTGCACTGTCCACCACGGGTATCGAAACCCGGTTTCTAGCGTTATAATTCCGCAGACATAGCGCTGGTATTACGTGGAAGGTACCTGAAGATTTTAATACTTTATTATGGAAGAAATATCTGATGTTTGAAATGCTGTATTATGGAGAAGATACCTGGGGTTTCAAACACTATGTTACAGAGGGGGTAACTCGAAGTGTGAAACACTATATTATAGACGAGTTACTTGAAGTGTGAAACACTATATTACAGAGGAGTTACTTGAAGTGTGAAGTACTATGTTACGGCAGATGTGTCTGATTGTTTGTTATGGATTTCGCGCAAAGCTACACGAGGGCTATCTGCGCTAGCCGTCCCTAATTTTGCAGTGTAAGACTAGAGGGAAGGCAGCTAGTCATCACCACCCACCGCCAACTCTTGGGCTACTCTTTTACCAACGAATAGTGGTTGATCATCACATTATAACGCCCCCACGGCTGAAAGGGCGAGCATGTTTGGAGGATTCGAACCCGCGACACGGAGATTGCGAGTCGAGCGCCCTAACCACCTGACCAGGTGTCTGAAGTTTGAAACAATGTATTACAGATACTTGAAGTTTCAGACAAAATTTTGATTATTTTATATTTACTACTGTTGGTATCTTCTAGTAAATGCTCAGTGATAAGAGAGTATATACATATATATATATATATATATATAATTCTACTCACTATCCTTGTTCTAGCGTTTCTGAAATAGTAAAACATAAATTCTACTATAAGGTGATTTATTACATCTTTTCTAGCCAATAAATACTGCGCAATTAGGGGCGATGATGTATCCATGATAGATTCTGATTTAATGTTATCGAGAGTAAAATTTAATAGGGAAGAAATGAACTCCGAAACGTATTGTTAATAGCATAATTCTTGAATACGTTTTTAAAAGGTTCCAAATAATTATATGTTGGACTTTTGAAAACAATTGTACCTTTTGAGAAGATAATCAAAACAATATATATTGCTAATGATTTCTGAAACTCCTTTTGTGGTAAAGAAACCTGACTGTTAAAAATGAAAATATATTTCTATACAGTTCATCATTACTTCGACATCATAGCCTTTGGTTGATAAATCGATACCACACTTAACATGGCCTATAACAATGGGAACTAAATTCGCATCGTATTTGCTAGAACTAATCTGCGTTAGCAAGACTTAATTGAAAATTCAATGCTACTTGATAATAACTTCATTATTTTAAATATTTGCCATACAGTAATGAGTTGATTTATTATATAATATAAACGTACTCTAACTAAATTAATGCATGGGACTCTAATTTGCCTGTTTGCGGTTTTCCTCAACAAAAAACAAGAGAGGTTTATATAACAGAAGTTTTTTAATGTCTTATTGAAAACAATAATATCAGACTTCTTATTTTATGGCTAAAATCGAAACTCTGCCACAAGTGTAAATTAAACACAAGTAACGTGTAAATGTTATCCAGTTTTTCAGTGATTTATGACTTATGTTTAAACCTAATGATGTTGCCCAATATCAAAATTTTATGCAGTCCATAAAAATACTTGCAGGTATGTTAATATTAGCAATTTGGATCCAGGTATACAGTTAATAGGGGAAAGATCGTGTAAACATTTCAGCAAGAAGTTCAAAACTTACTCTTAGTAACTTCTACTTTATAAAGAATGTATGTGATCAAACAAACGGTTTGGAGAAGGTATGTATGTGTGATTGTAAAATATTAACCCAACAACATCAAAACACTGTATGATAAACCAGTGCAACTATCTGAAAACTATCATTATTGTAGACGCTTCGGATATTGGAAGGTACATTTTGCTTTAAGAATAAGATAAACAGTTATATTCAAGATCTGTTATGTTTTTAGTTATATATATATATATATATAAATAGTTCTTGCTATACTCTTATGTTATGTTTTTAATATATGTAGTTCTGGCTATATTCTTATGTTATGTGTTTAATATATAGTTCTGGCTACATTCTTAATAGGTTCTTGTTGAAAAAATCTAAGCTTAATGTTATAACAAATTTTACTTTCAGAAACATTCACCTTCTTATCACTTGTTTGTATTTATGTATCTTGTTTCTTTACTTGAATAGTATGAAGGCTCACTAATAAATGTGTGGATTATTAACTACATTATTTAAATATATTAGAATTTGTTTTGTGAAGCTATTTACAATAGAAGGAAAACACGTATTTGTCTTCTCACCTCTGAATAGCTATCTTCATTTTTCATATGTTGAGCTATGAAACACACATTAAATATCGCTTTCTCCACCGCCGGACTAAGACAGTTGTCTGGAGAAGAGGACTGTGATCCTCCATCAGAAACTTCAGTGGCGGGGAATGTGGTTCCGTGAAACGAACATTCATATGGTACGACATCAGACGTGTCAGCCGCTGACGATGCCAGCATGCCCTCTGTAGATTGGTTGTCCTGCAGTGAATCTTCTTCGTCTTGTGGTCGTCTCATCCATAACATCTTCGGCAAGAAATCGAGAAAAACTCTTTTCACCCATGGGGACATCCGATGAGTCGATGGTGACCGGAACATGACGTTTAAGACAGCAATTGTAACAAATACCGAAAGAGAGACGAGAATCATTGTAAAAAGTAAATACTTCCCCAAAAGAGGAACTGTCAAAGAAGTTGGTGGAATGATTTCCGACAACAGCAAGAAAAATACCACTAAAGAAAGGACAATCGAAATGCTTAAAGATATTTTCTCACCACTGTCTGATGGTAAATAGAAGACCAGAATCGACAAAAACGAAATTGCCACACAAGGAATTATGAGGTTAACTGTGTAAAACAGAGTTTTGCGTCTCAGGGTGATATTAAAGGTGATATCTGGATAGGGTTCTTCACAACAGCTGTAAAATTTCTCTTTCCGCCTAGCCGGGACAGCCATAATGTCCCACTCTACACTTAGGTAAAAATCACTCAAATCGATCCCCATGGCGATCTCCGAATCATCAGAGTTTCCAAACTGATGCTTGTGTTTCAAATCAACCTGTAACAAAACATTAATGAACTTCTAGGTAATGAAATATGTCTGAACCGTCTTGTAAGTTTAAAATATTATACTCCACACACACAAACACACCATTCAAAGACAATTCTGATACGTAAATGCTTTTTTTTTTAGGTAACAATTAGAACAAGTTACGACTAACACCAGTAACAATTAGAACTTATTGGTTATTTGAGGTTCTATTGGGTTTAGCCAAAGTTATGTTTAAGCTCAAAACAGTAGATTTTCTACGCAGTTCATGTTCATTATTGTTTAGAACTTGTTTGTAAATCAATGATATTTTGGATTGTCACAAAGTTATATTTACAAATGCAAATTTTAAATTTGTTCCACTTGGTCGGGAGTGGCTCAGTGATTAGCAAGTCAGACTATGAATCCCAAGGCCCATAGTTCGCATCCTGTTGCCTCAAAACAGCGCTCCGCACTTTGGAACTCCGGGTGGGTTATAAAACTGATGTTCAAATCCCACTACTAGATCAGAGTAACTAAAGAGTTGGCGACAGATGCTGTTGACTAGCTACCATCCCTCTAGTCTATCAGTTCAAAATTAGGGACGGAAAGAGCAGATTATCCTTTCTTAGGCATGCCGGATTATCCAAACTAAACAGGCACCGCCTTTCTTAGGCATGCCTGACTATCCAAATTAAACAGACACTGTCTTTCTTAGACATGCCTGACTATCCGAAATAAACAGACACTGTCTTTCTTTGGCATGCGTGACTATCCAAACTAAACAAACACTATCTTTCTTAGGCATGCCTGACTATCCAAACTAAACAGACACTATCTTTCTTAAGCATGCCTGACTATCCGAACTAAACAGACACTGACTTTCTTTGGCATGCGTGACTATCCAAACCAAACAGACAGTGTACGCGTCATTGATTTTTAGATTTTTTTTTTATTAACTAAAGTTTCTACATGAACATTATATTTCTTATCAATTGTGTTTGTACATTGTGGTGTATTTAATAGTTTCCTACTTTTTGGCTTCTCCGCCCCATCACCCTCAGTTGTTTAGCAGTAATTCTGCAGATTTATAACGCTAAAAATCGGGTTTCCATACCCATGGTGGGCAGAGCAAAGATAGCCCATTGTGTAGATTTGCGCTTAACAACAACCAAAATTAGAGACCAAGATATTTTAAACACATTTAGAATCCTAAATATTTAATGGTCTAATTCGAATCCATCGTAAAATCTATGTTTATCGTTTTGTTTCAATTGATGTGTCACAATAAAACTGTTCTCATTTTTTTCGTTAAACTTTTAAGGGTTCGAATGAGCGTCATATGGCCTATAAAACAATTCAAAGACATTTAAGTAGGATGAAAACGTTAGCAATCCAAATTTTTATTTCAGCTCTCACGAAGTTTAACAATATTCACAGCGAAGATGTATTTATGAACTACATATCTAAACGAAATATAAAACAAACGACGTGTAGGTCTTTATGTTTAGGTCATCGCTGTTATCTTCGTTGCTTGTTTTAAATCTTATCCCCTTCAAATCTCCAAATAGATGCAGTCTATTAAAAAAAATCTCACCCAGGATACTTTAACCTGCTGAAGTTGTTTCATTATAGTTTCATTCATAATACTAAAGACACGTTTTTAAATGATAATCTTCGTTTCTAGAAAAAAAATTGTCTGATTTTAAAACAAGTTCAATAAAAGGCTTTGTAATCATTTTCTTTCTTTTTTCATCTCTAAGAAGAAAATCCCCAAAGTGCGGAGATGCAGTCAACTAAATGTCCCTTTCCCGTCTTTTTTGTTGTTTTTGTTTTAACTTAATATTATATTAACTCTTTCATTAACTCTACTACTATTACAGGCGTTTAGTGTTTTTTGTTTGTTGTTGATATTGTTTGTTTTGAATTTGTCTGAAAGTGTTGTAAGAATTTCTAAACGTAGTATTTTATTGTATGAATCATATAATTATTAACCGCATAATTAAGCTAAAGTACTTGAATTAGAACTAACGTCGACCTATTCTAATAGGCAATAGATATAACTGATCCACTGAGTCACCATAAATGTTCTTCTCGCAGTTCTGTTTTTGAATCCTCTAACTGTTGGGATTTTTTTTCTTTGTTGTTGTTAAATTGATTTATTCGGCTTTGCTAATGCGTTACTAATCAACGAGAAATTTATTAGGGAGAAGCCATAGAATACGTATCTCCTAAGACTAACCTAAATCTCCTAAGCTGTCCAAATCTATTGGGATTACGGCCAGAAATATCGATAACAACGAGATACCCAACTGATGAAACAGTGCATTCTAATCATTACAAATTTTTGCTTTATTTCATTGCACGCACCCAGTTAGATCAATAAATGGAATTAGTTCCATTAATAACTGGATTATTTATTCAGTTAGGATCTACGAAACCCGCTTGTTTTGATCTGAAGTTATTGGAAAAACTAATTAGTGGAGAAAATAAAGTTGTTGTTTCATTTGTAAAACTTAAATTCGTGATGACATTGCTTAGCGGGCATCACAGACATACAGTGTAACCATCATAGGTCCACGAGCCAAACTTCATGAAACACGTTTGCACGTCAAATGGAAAGTACTGGACGTTCATCTCACACGAACTCTTATAGATTGCTGGTGGTCGCCAGATGACCAGGCCATTCGAGTGAAGGGTAGCTTTGGTCATGATGGTAACTTCATAGTTTCCGTCTGCACTGAAAGAAGAAAATAAGTTGAATGACTCTTGTTTCTGTTTCTCATTTACACTCAAGAAACACTCACAAACTGCTTCAGATAATTGTATTATATGGTAATTATAATAGGTCGAGTTTAATCTAGACGTCACCATGTTAAGCTGCCGTTCGGAATGGCCAAGGTTTGCTCAGCTATGCCGCTGAGAAACTCTCCACAATATCAGCTATGGGAATGTCATAAGCTATGCATGCTATTCAGTTTGTAACCAGACAAAGCCACCGTGACTGTAAATGTCGCTGAATGGCTATTTCCCTGTGATCAAAAGTTAAAAATTCAGGACTTCTATATCTGAACACTAGGGATCTCTAACCTGGCCGTTTAGTCTACGTACACAAAGGTGTTGTTTAAGTTTAAAATATCAATCCCACTTAATTGTAAAGCATTTACAAAATGTTACTTTATCTCGCGTTTTCAGTTAAATGCTCAATGTTCAAATTGTTTGTAATTAAGCAAAAAGCTACACAATGGCCTATCTGTGCTATGCCCACCACGGGTATCGAAACCCTGTTTCTAGCATTGTAAGTCCGCAGACATACCGCTGTGTCGCTGGGGAGCCAATGTTCAAAAGAAATCACGTAACTCTTTTGCCTATTCATTGTACAATATAGTTTAAAGATAAAAGTTGGTTATATAAAAATAAGTTTATACCCAAACTCATACTCTGTAGATTATCAAAAAAGTCAGTAGACTCTAACATGACAGAGGAACGAAATGGCGCAAATTATCAAGACCACTTAAAAATAAAATCTAATAGAGTAATTTATTCTCAAGCTCGTGCTAGCCTACAAGAAGAAAATAGCTCTCTGTTAGAATCGCGTTTGTATTATCTACTAAATGGACATTATTACTTACAATTTTGTGCTAACGGCAACCAATCATCATCAACATTATTGCATCTACAGATAATTATAATCAAGTTTAACAAACAACTGTGGTATTATTTTAACTATTAGTAACATAATGGCAGCTATAAAACATGATACTGATATTTATCATGGTGTGCTGTTGTGTAAGTGGCAAAGCGTTTAATATATTATAAAACCGCTATCAAACATATTTCTTATAACGTTTGAAAAAACAAAACTATATATTTTAAATATTTCTAATCAAACCAGGTTTTGAATTTAGAAGGTCTTACAGTTTAAAATTATTACTCTTTTATTATATTTACATGTATATGCATGTGTCTAAAGTATAGCTAAAAGAAAATATGAATCTAATTAAAAATATACACAAACTACGGTTATAATGGTAACTTAAGGATAAAAGAAATTCAAACTCTAAAGTGTAAATAGCACATTACCCCAAGGATAGAAAGTCTGCTAGAATTTGTAGTCAACGTATAGTTCGCATTATTCTGCATACAATTTTAAAGGGTTTGTGATATCATTAATATATATATAGAGAGAGATTTAATGTAATCTGGTTGTTATGATAGCAACTACTGGTGTAGCAGCAAGATGAAGATAATAAAATCAAGACTGTCATGATATAAAAACTGTTTAGTGTAGGTATTATTAATTTATATATTTTGTGAGTGAATATCTCATGATTGTTTAGTGTGTTTTTTTCATAACAAGTGAATTAAAGCAGTTATTTTAAAGTAAACGTCATGACAATTTTAGTTACGAAACTCGGTAAGATCGCACGTTGTGTTTATAATTCATTGATTTTGAGGTTATCGAACGTCGCGTGAAATTTATTGATGTCGAGGATATAGAGATTTCTAGAAGGCGAGCAGACGATTAAGTGATAAGTATATTAATAGTGTGAGACGAGCGGAAAAAGTAAACAGACAGAGTAAATGAGAAAGTAAAGTGACGGAAAGTAGAAGTTTGGTCAAAGAAAAGTTAAACGTAAAGTTAAATACCGTAGAAGTGATAGACCTAACGATTGACATAGGCCTAACGTTTAATGCGTTAGAATAAGACTAACAGTAGAAAAGGAGATACGAAAAATAATTTATTCCCTTAAAGCGAGTGCTAAAGTAATTGAACCAGTCTGAGTGCACTGTGACAAAAGGAACAGACTATATCTGAATTACGAGGAACAGACGTTTAATGGAAGAGCAGTATTCGACTGTAGTAACTCACGCTATAATTGTAAGTGAATTATACACGGAATACTAGTGCGATAGAAATCGAGAAAAGTAGTTCGGCTTGTCAACTGCAATTCTGAAGTAACTGAAAAGGCCTAAGTAGACTTTTGACAACAAGAAGAGAACTATATATATAGTGTTTATGATATACCTATCATCTCTATAGTGTAAATAATTTGTTGTACATACGTTTAACTAGTTCGATATATATATATATATATATATATTATTTTGAAAACAAGTGGAGTTCATGCTGTTCATTTATCGTTGAATTCATCGCCAACAAGTCACAGACACCTACTGTAGAAGAATCCTTAGCCAAACATACCCATATTATTCAACCTATTTACCAAATACTATTACTATAGATAACATTAAGAAGAATAAGCCTCTTTTTTTAACAGCCATGGCTGCATATCAGAAACATATTTAATTCACATTCTTAAATATTAGGGTTTTAGATGTAACGTTAAAATATTTGTGTATTACCCCAATTGTTATATTTAGCCACATTTTTATATCTTTATAATTACTGAACAATCTACGAAGTTCATTTTACATCTATACATGTAGTTCTTTAAAAGATTCTCTAATACTCCTGCTTAACTCGCTCCCTCAGAAGAAGAAAATAAATAAAAGCAGATGAAAGAATTATGACACAAAACAAACCCTACTGACTTATATTGATAGTTGAAGTTTTCCATTGTCTTATTCCTATATTAAATTTCACCTTCTCTCAGGAAATTCAATTTATTCCGGCAATATTCAATTTATGTAAATAGTGTAAAGGTAAAGAAATAGCTATATATGTAGTACCGATATTTCAGGTCAGGTTTTTAATAGATAACGTTCTAAACATACGAAGAATGTTTTATTTATTAATATTTATTCCATTTCATATAGTTTCCGACATTTTTTTTATTAAAGAAGCACTCTTATCTAAATAGAAAAACGCCACATGCTCTTCTACACTTTACTCAGAAAGGTTGTCAACGTTGCAATGATTTGTTATCATTTCAATCCATTACTGGCAGAAAAATACATTCGTATTTTGTTGAAAAGGTTTCAAAATTATGCCTTTCTTCTGATAAACTAATATTACGTTTTCTGTAGATAACGGCACCATTGCAATTTGGAAGGATCCGTAAAATCCAGTAAGGTATAGAAAGATCATGAGAATGTGTTAAATGTCCCCTCGACTCAACTGATTCTGAATAGATAGCTAGGAACACTTTTAGAGAAATTGACACACTGAATCCATTGTGGAATACTTTAGAAAAGATAATAACCCACAAGTTATGATTACATTTCTGGAAGCCGTTTAACCGTACTTATAGTTTGGTAATGGGGAAAGTTCCACGATAAACAATGCCTTTTCTCTTACAAATAAGAAAAAAAAAAACAACCAAAAAAGACAAACTTTTAAGTGTTCGAAAATAACATTATTCATCATCAAATTACTTCTAGTTGGCCCTCTTTCCCCACTAGGTGGCTCAGCGGGAAGTCTGTGGGCTTTTCATGCTAAAAAAGTGGGTTTCGATATCCTCTGTGGGGAAGAGCACAGATTGTGTAGCTTTGTGCTTAACAATAATCAAATAAAAAAAAAAAACAACTTCTGGTTTTTGCGCTTATTTTAGTGACACGTACTTTGTATTTGTACTGTAGTATCTTTGTACTACCACACATTTAGCATTCAGGCTAACTGTTTCCTGTTAAATATTAAGATCCTTGTGTATAATCTGTGATTACTGGACAGACAAGCAAGTTAACACAAAAGCTGCGTTCTAAGTTCTATCGTTACCTTTGTTACTAGACTTGAATAATTCTCACTGCTTATCACACTGCTAATGTAATCGAATGGAATTCTTCGAAAACTGGATACGGTCAGTAGGGTAGCCTTGCTAAATGATAAAAGTTGAATGACTCATCTGGCTTAAGATACAACCTCTGAACTGTGCAAATTATGAAGAATGTAAAATATATGTATGTAAGAAAATAAGTTACCTTGATAAATATTTTACATCATGATGTAAAATTCATGATTGTCTTCTACTCTTTCATAGCAAAAAGAAAAAAACTGGGGGGGGGGGGAAGTTAGCGCTTACATCGTTTTTGAACTAGTTTTAGGGCACACATTTTTTTTCACACCTTGTGGTAATATAGGCTGTAATATGAAAAAAACACGCTCGTGTTGGATAACAACTCAAGACCAACTTAGAGCTATAGCTTTGAAATATATCTTAAGCTCAACGTGGTAGAGTGCTACATCCAGCTGGAAAACTAGATAGCTTAAAACATCGTTTTATTATTAAATAGTAAAAAGCTGTAAAGCTTCGTTTCTCATTCTTAAAACATAGAAATCTTCAATGGATAACATTCTCCGTTATCGACTCGACGGACCTGGCCTTACTCTGAAATTCTGTTCTTAGAAGAAGGTCATGGTTTAATAATACGATTAATGATTTATATAGGTTTATGATAAGTAACTTAAAAAGTGCCAAACTTTACAATGATAATTACGATAGTGAATATGCTTGAGAAATCCTATAAGACGAGTGTGTGTGTGTGTGTGTGTGTGTGTGTGTGTGTGTGTGTTGTTTTCTATCTGCTGTGTCCACCGGAGGGGAAT